TAATCAATAATTGATCTTATCTCTTTCAGGAGGTCAGGGCTCTGAAAATTAGTCAAATTCTAAAAGTCATCTAAAAATTAAAGTCAGTTTGCTCAGATTTGCTTGGTGAAATACAGACAACAAATTTCAAATGTGCTCAACTGCACCCCCAGTGTCACTTCTTCAGAATGGGAGTTCAGGAAGTCCCAAAAGATGTACCTTTTAACTTAAGTTTGATCAACCTTTCCATAGTTTATTGAATATTTGACACTTGGATTTTGTTCAAATTAAATGTTTGAAATTGCACCATTTGAAATGATTTAAATCATTTTTAAAGACGATGATTAAAATCACAGAAAATCAAATCCATTGTTTTCAGAGTAAACTATATTAATACTATAAATTTAGTGGTAATTTCAACATTAAGTATTCAGTTGTGGTGAAATTTCACATTCAGGTAGTTGGTTGCTTTAAAGATTCTAATAGGGCGCTTAATGGCTTCCATATTATTCAAACAACGAAGGTCTTATCTCACTTACAATTTCATGTATTTGTGTCCGTGTTTTGTAGCTTTTTAATCTGCTCATGTTAAATTCTACATTTGAGTGATGTCACAAACACACGGATGTTTGTTGCTTTGTTTGGTTTGTTTGCTTTTTGTAGCTCTCTGGTTTTCCTTGTATTTCTGAATAGGGTGTGACATTTGTTTTCTACCAGTTTCCTTTTTGATTTGTCTTCTGATCAGATTGGACACAAAGCTCAGCTGAATCGCTAGGCTTCTCAGACCAAATGAGCAATAAAAGACAGTCTCACAATCATTTGAGGCGGATCGGTTTCAGGTTAGTTATTTTCCTCTGATGTCTGAAGGCAGAATAAAGCATTAAAGTACTTCATGACCAAACTGCATTAAATATCTTAGTACAAAAAAGAAAAAAAAAAGACTGTTCTATGGACTAACTGCTGCTACCCTACTCTATATTAACCCTAAATAATCAAATGCACAATCAACACTGTTTTGGATTTTCAGTTTCTCACTTTTTCTTGTAGATATTAAACTTTCTTGTTTCACCTTGATCCCCAAATCTAAAAATGGAATAAGTTTGACCTCCATGCACGGGTAGCTGTGTATTTAAAGTGTTTGGGCATCAGTAGCTGGAGGTGGAAGCAATGAGTTGATTTGGGATTGGGCGCACTGATCAACTGAATGCATGTAGAACAGAATGCGTTGTGCCGATGTTGTGCTGAGCTTGTTTTGGGTTTTTTTGTGACCGTCATTGGTTGTTCTTTAGTCCGTCTGTGTTTTTCCTCCTCCACTGTGTTTAGAAAATGTATGGAAGCACATTACTGCCAAGTAAAGAAAAAAAAAACGTTCCAATTTTAGACATGATAAAAAATACTCGTGTTGAATCCAGTTTTTTAAATAAAATGATCAGATACTAAGTAGAGGCTTTGTCCTACTAAGGCAAAATTACAATATAGTCAAAACTTTGCTTTTATAATTTAGTATCACTAACTTTAACTTTTTATTTTAATTAGACTTACTATCATAGTTTTGACATATTATTTCATGATTTAAGTTCAAAGTCTGATGCAGTATCTCAGTTTTCCTCAAACCTATCTTATAATTTTTAGAACAAGTTTCAATTATTCAGTTAAAGTCCAAATGTTGACATATCTAATAACTGGCTTCAATTTTTGACTTGCTATGTCATCATTTTGACCACCATGAATATTTCTTATTTTCATGGTATATTTTTTTTTCTTTCCGTGGCGTTAATTGGCTTCATTAGAAAGCTGTTGTTGCTGCCACTTGTAGGCAGTGCTGAGGAGCAGGCCGGAGTTGGATATTTCTTTTTGTTCTTGGATACTAACACGGGTCTTTTGTATGTGATATGCCCCCTCCCCTCCCCTCCCCCTGATTATATTAAACCATTATATTGTGGTGCTATATATATTTGATAAAAATGACTAAATGTATTGGGATAACTATTGTCTGAAAATAATTGTGAGTTGAGAAGGTTATGGTGCAAAATTTATTTTTGGATACAAATGAAAAAAAAAATCTATGTTAATAATTATAAATCTATTGATATTAACACTGACCCCCTGAGGTACATTATTAGATTGCAGTTTAAAGTTTGTACATCTTTTTGATAGTGTATACCAGTTTTCTTTCATATGGTAAATTTGTGCTGTGATCAAGCTTTGATAGACTTTGTAAATAAAGCCAAATGTTTGGATCATAATATTGGTTGTAATGAACGGCTTCTTTGTTTACAAGCATTGCAAACTGTTTCCGCATGGCTGTGAAAGTTTATCTGGTGATTTTTGTAAGATCTGACTTTTACACTGAATAAAAAGGCTTATGACATCAGACACTGGTGGAAATCCTTTGTCTGAGTTTGGGCACGCAAGTCTTTCAATGGCACGCCAGCAGCTCGGCTCTGATACAGACAGGACACTGCAAAGACACTTAAAGGGCCTTCCCCATTAATTTACCTTTATTGAAGAGGCATTATTTCATTATTGAACACTTATTGAGGAGTCCTTTTGTTACTTGTTACTGAAGAGGCATTTTTTCATTGTTAAAATAAAGTCTAAAGTTCTCAGCCTCCATTTCTTTGAGTTGAGACTTCAGAATCAGTACCGCCACATAATAATACATACATACACACATACATGCAATCATACATACACACACAGATGCAACTAATACATACATACCAAATAAATGAGGAATGTGTGTGCTGTTTGTTTTTTTGCTTTCAGTGACTCATGATTTCCATGATTTTGTGCTTTGGCAGATCAAACAGATCTCGCAGACAGCACACAATCAGGATTACAGAATCTGGATTTGCAGTCTTTGTTTTATTACTTACTCAGGCGATTATTCGATTGATTGTTTACAAGTAGCATAAAGACAACTATATCTGAATTTCATTATATAACCATACGTAAAATAATGGTTCCTGTTGTGTGTTATTATTATTATTATTGTTTACATCTACATAGACCAGGACATCACTACATGTACTCACTGTAATGCTGTTTTGTCACACATTTCACACAACAATTCTTATATTATGGTGATTATACACTAAGGAAAACATATGATATTATATTATACATTATATCATATTATATTATATTTCTGCCAAATGATGCTCCTAAATGTCACACATGGGTTTGAAATACTGGGTCCTGAGGATTGAACCGTGTCTGTGGTCTGAACAAAAAAGGGATTTCTCTTATTTTTCTATTGTATGGATTCCAAATATTTTAGATTAAAGTGCAAAACAGAAGCAATATTTTCATCTATTTTGCAATGATTGGATATTAGAATGGCGAGCAGTCTGTGTTTTTAAAAGGAAATTAAAAACATATCTTTTTAGTCTAGCTTTAACTGACGTATAAGCTTAGTTTTTAGATTTTAATCTTTGTTTTTACATTATTTGTCTCCCTGGTGTTTTTTTTCACATCGACATTTATTTATATATATTATGTATAATTCTTTTTGCACAATTTTATTTATGGTTGTTCATTTTGTTTATATGTGTTTGCTATGTGAAGCACTTTGGCTGCATGTTTGTATTGAAGGTGCTATATAAATAAAGTTGAAAGTAATAAACAAAATGTTTACAATTTTTGGCAGATTTAATATTCATAAAATGAAATGGTTCAATAAAAAGCTAAGTTTAAGTTAAGTTTAACTTATTTATAATTGTTCGTCATTAAAATGAGAAATATAGACTGTATATTCAAGGATGGAATTCTTCTAAAGGAATGGAGCTCAGGAATGAATCTGGACTAGACCTTGGCCTCCGAAGAGAACAGATCCAAGTAAAAAGCTAAGTTTAAGTTAAGTTTCTTATTTATAATTGGTATTAAGCTGTTACAATAGGTGAGAGCAGGCATACGTTTAACAACCCTACCATAAAACAGCAGCTTTTAGAACAGAGTTTGGTTTATATGGAAGCCCATTTTTACAAAGGTGACAGAGGGAAAGGGTTCTGTTAGTCATAAAATGAGAAATATAGACTTAGCATCTAAAAATAATGACTTTACTAAATCAGTATTTTCAGAAAGTTTTTCAATTTATTGACTTAATCTCTTTTTTTCCATTTGACATTGTGGAGCAGATGGTATTTTAACCTTAATATTTAACTAATTGAGCTGACCAACTTTATAATCCTTGTTAACCGCCTTAAGTAACCTGTTTAATCTGAAGCTATATTTCCTAGCAGTTACTTTACTGTTAGATTAAACAGAGCCTTGCACCCTGACTCGGTTTGACCTGAACTGAACCTTTATTAGCATCACTGACACTAGCTGGGTTCACCTGAAATTTTTAGGGTAGAAAAGTTACATTAAGTTGCTTTATCCTACGACACCCAACTTGTGACAGATGTTTAAGCAAAAACAGTGTAGAAAGTCAAAGTGCCAAAAAAGATTCTGTATATCATATCTGCCAAACTAAATTAACCCACATACTGCACTTTCAATGTTGGACCCTGTATACTAACTGGTTCTCCCATACTGCACTTGGTGCTCAGGTGTGTCCTGTTGGCCAGTTGCAGTGTATCCATTAGTGTGACAATATGTTGGAGATCAGCATCAATTGGCAATTCTGTCAGTTTATTTTCCTCAAATAAAAGGTAGATATAGTTTGAGCTGCTCCACAATCTTTACGAACAAGTAAAATGCACAAGGAACCCCTAATATGATACTCGTGCTCCATATGTAGTGATGTAAAGTACTGAGCCCCACCTTAACCAGCTGCAACAGCAATACATTATTCTAAAAGGGGAAGTCTATTCACCGTGCTGCAGCTGCAGGAGGTAACTTAATATATTCTGACAGAGAATCTCTGGGGGAAATAACCGAACAGAACTCCTAATGGCATATGCAAGAATCCAGCATAACTGAAGGAAAACAACCAGAACTAAGAAGAGTTGTTAATATTGACCCTGGGCATGAGACAGTTCTCTTTCTCAGACATTTTTACAACAGTTACCTACGACAGCGCAACATCAAAATGTGAGTGCAGGCCCGTTGCAGGAATACTGCTCTAAGCACTCAGCCCACAGCTGTTATCGCAGCACAGGGCAGATCTGAAAAACCACCTAATCTCAGATTATGGCTCCTCTCCAATCCTGCGTGTGAGTGGATATGAACACTCACCTAAGTGTGCCATTAACTAATCCCCTCCATTAGAGTTGAGCAAGTCACATAGGATCATATGTGCATTAGTGCAGTGTGGAATCTGACCAATGAAGGACAACGTTGGTACTGTGTGCATTTTATTGGAAAGCAGATCACTGTTTAACAAAACTGACAGTCAAAAACTGTTTCAAGTCATTAACTGTATATTCATTGGATGGAATGTTTCTAAAGGAATGAGGTCTGGAATGAATCTGGACTAGACCTTGGCCTCCGAAGAGAACAGATCCAAGTTCAGTTTGATGACGTCAGAGGGGATGTGAGGACTGTGGGGACAGGAACTTCATCAGTTCTCTCCTCTAGGCAAAAAAACAAATCTGAGGCAAAAGTTTCCCTGGTCTCGAAACCAGAGTGAGGACTGCTGCAGGACCCAGAGTGGTTTAGTAGAGCCAGTCGGCGGCACAGCTAGTGTAGCTGACCAGCTCTTCTGGTGTGAACCACAGGGAAATCTCCTTTTTGGCACTTTCCACTGAGTCACTGCCGTGGATGATGTTCCTGTGAACAGGACGAGAGTGAAAAGTGAGAAGAGAGCGAAGAAGAGAATTGTGTCCAAACGTTGCTCTATGCGACCTCCACACAGGACGCAGGCGGCACTCACTTGCTGACGTCGATACAGAAGTCTCCTCTGATGGTTCCGGGCTTGGACTCAGCGGGGTTGGTCTCGCCCAGCATCACCCTGCCTGTCTTCACTGCACCCTTGCCTTCCCACACCTGGAATACAGAACAGAGGGATGATGGATGAACCAGCTGTTCTGTTAGCACAGTAGAATTACTGAGTAACAGTGGACAAGTTATTTTTGCCCACAGCAGGAAGCAGAGCATGTCTTAGGCTCCAACTCATCTCCAGGGTTTAAGCCTCTCTGGTTCAACAGGCACACCACCTCTTATACAATCTGTTGTGTGTTCTTACCATGGCAACCACTGGACCAGAGGTCATGTACTTCATGAGGGTAGGAAAGAATGGTCTGTCCTTCAGGTCGATGTAGTGCTGCATCAGGAGTTCCTCAGAGGCCTGCAGGGACACACACAGTTCTCATTGTACAATATATTCCAGGGTTCAATAGCTTAATGGATCTTCTGTAGCTCCAATTAGGAGTTTGCTCACTTATGGCAAAATACAGCAGTTCTACAGCAACAATGGTAAAAGGTTCAGCTGCAACACATTAAGTTTGCAGAGAGAGGGATTCATCACAAAAGGCAAAGCTCATCTGAAAGCAGTAACAAGTGTCACTTAAAGATTGAAATGTGCCCAATCTTGGAGGGAGTACACCAAACAGAATCTGTGAGACAGCAGCCAGTCAAACTGTTCAGTGTACCACTTTAAACAATTGGACTTTCAAATTACAATTATGAAGATGAGATGGAGATCAAGTATTGTGCTGCGTTGTGTTTTGACTGTTTTAAATCCAGTCATGGCTTTAAGTCAGTACCAGTAAAAGAACATTGGTCAACAAGTAACCTTCACAATAATCACCTCAATACTGACCCAAATAACTGATTATGAGCTTTGCCATAATAGTGCAGCCCTAGTCTTACACTGAGGAATACTGTCAATACATTGATTTGTTCAGACGTCAGTCCGACGCCACAGAACAGAGCTGCTCTAAGGCCGCAGCAGTCAGGTCTGTCTGGCTCATAGTGACCTTATTAAGCCAAATCTGACCAATCCACATTTAATATTGATGCTAATATTGATGTAAAAATCAGTGTTTGCACCATTAGTGACAGTGCCAACCCAGTCCAAAGCGACAGCATCAGTCTCATTTGCCACAGTGTACTGTGAGATGCCAAGGAGAAAGTGGATTACACTACAGTGACCACAGTATGAATAACCTGTCTGAAGCACTGACAGACCCTGACCTCCATCTGAGTGCCGTGTCAGTTCGAGAGTCACATGGTCAACACATCCTGCTTCAACGTTAAGACTCCAGTGACACAAGTTGAATAAGCAGAAATCCTATAAGCAGATACTCTTCCTGCTGCACACAGAATTCAATGTGAGCAGTTATCTGCAATGGCACATTTTATGCCATCAGAGCCAGAAAACCTGTGTATTTAACATTCCAAATGTTTTAATAAACGTGAGCATGGCTTGTTAAAGTGAAGCGCTGCCCACTGTCACAGATGAGATGTTAGAGGATCAGAACTCAACTGTGTGCTAATCGGTTGTGCTGCAGTCAGGAATAGACCAGCAGGCTTATCAGCTCACCGGATGTCTTACTGCCACTCTGCACAGGATCCACAGTACAGGGTTCACATTAACACTGGCTTATGAAAGCAGCTCATTTCAGACCCGCTGCTGAACACGGACAGAAACCATTGTTGACTTACATGGAGCATCTTCATGCCCACGAGTTTGAAGCCTTTCACCTCGAACCTCTTGACGATCTCTCCGATGATGCCCCTCTGCACGCCATCGGGCTTGATGGCGATGAACGTGCGCTCCTTCAGTTCAGTCATGATTCTGAAACAAAGCAGGGGAAAGGAGGATGAAGGAGGATGAAGGAAAAACACTACAGCCTGCAGGAGGAACAAGCCTGGAGAGTCACTCACGCCTCTTGGTGGCATCTGGCACCGGCAGCAGCGGGGCCGGCTGCCGAGGGCCCCGACCCCATCGCACACAACGCATAGAAGACACAGGACGCGGGTTAGTGTTGATCTGACGGATCGCCTACACTGCACCGCTGTCACTTGGACAGCCAGCTCCGCCCACTGAGAACCTTTATCCTGGCACCGTCTCTATGGAGCACGGACAGACTCCACCTGCAGCTAACAGTTACAGACTGCACTGTCTAAAAAGGAAACACCTTCAAGTTCCCCATAAGGAGCTATGGCAGTCTCATTTACAAGTCAAGTCTTGGTGCTCAGTTGGTTCAGTCAGCTGCTGCTGTAACCTGAAAGGCTAAAGCTGAAGTGTGATGTGGAATTGTGGGACTTCAGTGAATGGAACTAACCCTACAGAACAGCGTGTAGACTACAGCATACACCAGTGAGCTGTGTTGCTTTAAGAGAACATGATCTGACAAACAAGCACTTTCTCAATGTCACCCTTTTGACATTTTACATGTCAATTGACAGAATTGATAGATCAAATTAATCTAAGAGCAGCCTACTTAATGCACATCAGCTGAGACCGCAAGACTGTTAATAGGCATGTCTAATAATGAAGGCCTATCCATTTTCTTTGAGGGAATTCTTGTTTTCACTTTAGTAAAGAAATTGTATTGTTCTTCCCAGAAAGCATTGGGAAGTTGCAGCCAGTAAAGCAGTCTGATTATTGCCAGTTGCGGCCCTACATTTATTTCATTATGTAAAATCACCAGTTGGAGCCCGTCATTGTTCCTGTGCAGCAAGGCGCTAAACGCCGTTAGCACTGGCCCACAATGCATTACCGAGGCCAAGAGTGCACAGTCGCTGACTCCAGTGCCAGCAGCTCATGTACGCAGCATTAGCTAATGTGACTCCTACACAGAATACACCTCAGGCCAATATAAAGGTGGATTATCCCCAACACACACACACACACACACACAGTAGAACATGGAATACAGTGAGACGAGAGGTTCCATCGTCCCCAAAGACTGCAAAATGAAGCACATTCTCATACCAACACAGGTTGAATGTGACGAGCCAGGCACAGACTGGCAGCGTTGGTCTCTAATCTTTCTTTCATATCAAATCTTGTTACTTCCCATTTCCCTCCCAACTGCAGCAGGCACTAATACACATCACTCAAAACCAGAGCCACATAATGAAATGAAGAGGATTGACTGTTACTGCCCACTCTTCATTAACTGCTGCTATACAGTTCACCCCCATTAACCCACTCTGAGCCTGTGACAGTTCACCTCACCCATGGACAAATTAAAAAAAAAAAAAAAAGCCAACACATATCACACTATCACTAGCTTAAACAAAACGTGTTAATTGCTGAATGAATTACTGCGTGTAGTTAAAGCTGCACTCGGTAATTTTAAAAATATTGTGTCATATTTAATGGAAGCTCATTGATATCTGAGTAGATTAGACAAATAAATATGTATTAAAAATAAAATAAAAGAATAGAGCAGACAAAGATATAAGGACACTGTGTTGGAGGCTTGAAGGCAGTTGATTTGAGTGTGATGAAGCCCTGGGAATGAGACTCCATCTTTCTTAGCTCTGATTTATCAGTCTCAGGTCCAGCTGTGGACGATATAGTGAAAGTTTGAGCAAATAAGACAAAAAGTGATTTGGAGAAGTTACCTAGTGCAGCTTTAATGAGCAGATGGCAGCAGCTCAATTAGCTTTCTTTAAGGCGTTTGATGGCTCGTCCCCAACGTACAGCACAGGAGCACGCGGACTTTGGCACCGTCTGCTGGATGATGTCAGTGACGTTTGGTCTGCCGGCTGCGTCTGACAGCCGGCCTTAAGCCCCGGCAGTCAACTTCGGCCAAGGAAGCAGAGTTTCAGTCCCCTGGGGACACCGCTCATTACCCGAGACTGCCTACATGCCCAGAAAGCTAATTCATTTCAGCGCAGCGCAGCGCAGCAGGGGGACACATCGTTCTTTACGGGTTTGTCGGGACCCGGCCGAGGCCTACACAGTCCGCCACATGGTCTTTTGTTCGCGCTGCTGCGGAAAAGCATGCCCTATGGCGTTGTCAGGCAGCGGCGCAGGAAACGCATCACCGCACCCGGCGTAAAATGTCCCATAACGTCAGTTAACGTTAGCTATAACCGAACTCGTGGAATGACTGCATTACCCACAAGTTTAAATAAAGTAAAACCAGGTTACACCACACCTGCTGGAGACCGACTTCTACAAAAAACACAGAACGCTAGCGACAGAGTCGGCCGTGTAAACAACAGCGAGAACTACAAGAGTAACGTTAGTTCAATTAATACAAACAGAAGTTATACGCGTAAAAGAGGAGAATCTGTTGTCTTTACCTCGACAGTGGGGCTGCGGTACAGTGGGCTGTGGTACAGTGCTGTGCAGGAGTTGCTCCGGTTGACGTGGGAGAAGACCTACGGAGCGTGCGCAGCCCCCTTTTATCCGGGAAGGCGGAGACTGGCGCTACGGCAAGACACTAGGGCCCAAAAGGGAAGAACAGTTTAATTTGTTATAGGACCGAACCACCAATGGTCAGAGATGGAAAGAGCACTGAATATGTGTACTCAAGTAGAGGTACGGTTATATTACATACATATTACTCAGTGAAGTGAAACTACTAGTGTTAATGCTTTGAAAATCTCTACTTTTTTTTTTTTTTTTTTTACATTTTTCTCATTACTGATAAAATGGCTCAAACTCAATGTATTACACAGGCTGTTTCCAGTAGTACTACTGCTTATGTTAATAAAGCTGAATGAGGTTAAAATCGATAAATATCCAAATGAAATATCACTTAATAATAATACTAAACTTTACAAAGACACCGTTACAACGTGCTTTAAGTGGCTGAACCGGGATTAAAACATTTCAGTACTGCAATGAGACGAATAAAATAAGACGATTAAAATAAATAAAATGGAATAATAATAATAATAATAAATTATAATTCAAAATAAAATGGAACAAATACCCCAAAACAGCATTAATATAATAATATTAATACAAAATGAACTGTAACAAAATACCAACAACAGCATTAATAATAATAACAAGATTTTTTTTGTTTGAGCAGCACTTGAAGGAGCAGCTTTGTTACCCATATGCATCATTGATCTTTCCACAGAAAACATAAAATGTAGAAAAAGTTCTAGAAATATATTCTGTTGCAACATTATCCCTTGATCAATGATTACTGTTCTTTCCATTAGCGAGCATAAACTTAGAGAATTGTGGGTATATTCCTGGAAATTCTGCCATATTTGGAAAGCTTTCAGTTGGGATTCTGAATTTCTTCTGGGATTCATGAGCTGTTCCTGGATTTTATGTGAATGGTTTCTTCTCTTCGTGTGACAATCACATAATCAGTATTTCATTTTGACTGTATTGTGTTGTGTTATTGTGATTAGTTTCTATATCCTATTGAGCTGCAACCAGCGATGCTCACTCTGATGGTCGGCCCACAAAACTTTCCTAACCCTTTGGTAGCCACAATTTTCATCCTTTGGTATGAAGGTCACCTGTGTTCATGGATTAACATAACATGACTAAACTGTGTAGAATGACACCCACACACAGACTAAGACTGTAGCAACTGCAACTATGAGGCTGAAATTTGCCATGGAGGTCAAGTGGTTTTTATTTACCAAAAAAAAGGCAAAACCAATTTAAACCAATAATTTATTAACCAGGCCTATAAAAGAGGTCAACAAATCCAGAAACTTTATTGGAATCCCTGATTTGTGTGTTTCGATTTTTTATGGTTGAAAATTTGTGGCTGAGACAAGCTACGAACAGAGAGGGGAGTGGTTACAGTGGACACTTCATCATGGTTTGCATTGTGTTACTTTTGGTCAGAGAAGACCATGTGACTCATCTGGGAGACACATGTACAAACAGACACGTTAAAGTCATCCATCAGAACTTTTCTAAAATTGCAAAATTGTGGCAGTTTAAAGGGTAGAGCTGTGAGCTTGTGACCAGAAGGTTGTCGGTTCAATCCCTAGACCAGCAGGATAAATCTGGGTGGGGAAAGTGAAGAAGCAGTGCTTGCTCCTCCCTCATTACCACCACTGAAGAGCCCTTGAGCAAGACTCTTAACCCCAACCACTCAGTGGAGCTTCTCAGTGGCAGCAGATCACACTGTGGTTGTACTGGGGTGGCTGTGGCTCAGGAGATAGTCGTCCATTATTTAGAAGGTTGGTGGTTCAATCATGTCTCCTCCCGCTGCATGTCGCTGTGTCCTTGAGCAAGATACTGCACCGATCTGATGCGATCAGGATATGACTGTATTAGTTCCTGTTTGTGATGACCTTTGCCTTCACTGTGTGAATGGGTAAATGTCAATGTGAATGTGGCTTGTAGTCCTGTAGGGCTTTGAGTGGATGATTGACTAGAAAGGTGCTATACAAGTACCATTACTGAACAGCTTCCAGGTAAGAATGTGTGACAGTTTGAATGTGATTAGGGTGTTCCTGCAAAAGACAGGCTTCCTCCCAGTGAACCTTCCCTAAATAAATAAAGGTTAAAGAAAAAAAGACCTCGATGCTATGAAACTTGCAATGTTTCTAAACAACTTGATTTTAATCACTGAATGATCAGTTGGTTCCACAACTAAACAACACAAGCTAACAGAACTCTTTCACTTTTAGTTTAAAGGTTACACAGTTTGACATAACATATTTTGGTGATTTTTTTAATTGAAAAGATGTAAACATAGTCTCTCTGTGGTATGAATCATATCCAGCAAACGTTCATGCATAGTTACATTTTATATTATCAATTGAACAAAAACCAGCAACCATGAGTTCCTCTGAGCAGCTGTGTACTGAAAGTTATTGATGTCCACTGATATCCACAATGCAGTTTCCAGTGTGCAAGAGATGGCAGTAGAAGGGGAACTGTGGAGGTCAAGATGAGATCTGGAAGACCAAGAAAACTCTGAAAAAATGTGAATGCCTCAGGAGTTCCACTGTCCAGAGCTGCTTGCACAAACAAAACCGTCATGGAAGAGTCGGTAGAAGATAACCTTACCTGTGTACACATTATAAAATCTAACATCAGAAGTATCTACATGTACAGAAGCCTGATGCATTTTGGAAACAAGTGCTATGGACTGATGAAGTTAAAATGGGATTTAAACCATTAAGATTTAAACCACTATTTGCTATGTAAAGATACAGTGGAGTGGAGTGGAGCAGAGAATGATGTCACACTCCCTTTGGCTGTGTTGTTATTGCAGCCTCTCTGTTGTTTGTTTTCAAATCCGGTCTGGCCATTCATGCATGTGAGTCGCTTCATTTCCAACTGAGTAGAGCAACTGAAACTGCTGCTTTTTTCATCTTCATCTGTGAATTAAGGATTTATTTCCCACAAACCAGAGTTGGGTTGGTGATTATTAGAAATACTAACAGTCTTTCTAATAATCACCAACCAAAACTAACAGTTTTGACAGTTTTGGTGAGTTTTATTTGGTTTCAGTTTGAAGTGTGTTTTAGAGATTATGCCTACATTTTCCGAAACAACCTAACGTAGGCTAGAGGATTTTTTGTCAACATAATGAGGAGAATCTTTCAATTACTGTATCTGTCAAGTGGCAAAATCTTCATACTGAACATGGTTTTGTCAATGGAGTCTGGTGGTGAGTGACAGCATTACCGTTTGCCCGTTTGTTTTGGTCTGAGATACTGGT